TCCCGAAGGGACCGCTTCGGTAGATTTTGTGACATTGATTGTGCAGTCACACTTCGATACTCTTTTGCGTTACGTGTTATCAGTGACATTCTTTGGAGCAGTTGTTTTGAAAGTTATGGACCAAAAGACACTCGTTAAGCGCAGATGAAGTTATAAGGTGCATATAACTGTGTATATGAGTTTGCCGGACACGCACGAGTTCACAAGTCTTTGAATGGAAACCTTGCCAGACACTCTTTCTCTCTCTTTGACCGGAATAACACGCAGCCCTAAACAGGCAAGACGAGTGAACAACTGCTAGCTTATCAATAGCAGAACGATGGACGATTGCAGAAATTCGCCGACAATCAAATTCTGGGCTGACTTATTCCCTGCTCACTGATGTCCTTCCGTTAGAAAGTTTAAAATAAGACAAGAATGCGCGAGCGTGAATTGGTCAGACGTCGTTTTAATTTTTAAGGCTTACTTTCTGGCAAACAAAATGAACTGAATGCAAAAAGTGAAATAAAAATAGCGAAAAATTCAACCTCTAATTAAATCTTTTCTTATGGTTTAGAATAAACTATTCTCGAAACTGAGAATGTTTTGATAAAAGCTGTCTAAATCGAACTGAACACTGTGCATGAACCTTGCGTTTCCTTTATTTATCTCACCTATTGTATGGAATATGTGTGAAAATCTTCATTGTGAATCGTTATATTTCAAAGAGCTACACAACGAGCAAGACAATATTGACCGACAATATTGCTGGTTTTCAGTGTCACGCCTTTCAAAATAGATCAAAATAAAAATCAAAACCGTTCAATAGATAAAGTCCAGAATCTGGGAAATGAAAGGAGGTACGTATACAAAGACCCTCGCCAAGATTCGGGTCAGAGGAATATTTCGTATACGAGATATCCGAAGAAATTTTTTACCCAAACTTAGAGAGATTTTTATGGAGACGCCATGCTGGTGCTCACCTGGATGAGCTCCAACATGGCGGAGGGAAACTAACAGAAACATCTGTTACCGAGTTTTGCTACAAAAGCGTGTGTTTATTCTTCAGGAAACTCATAAACATTAAAGTAATACTTTTTCTACTACATGAACTGTTTAGATAGCAAAATTTCCTGAAATAAGTCATTTTTTTAACCTACATGACAGCTCTCTTGGCCGTCATTTGAATGCCGCGTCACATAAAAGCTTGGAAATTCAAGCGTACACTATCACAAAACCTAGAACCCTTTTGAAACGAAAATTTGTATGAAAATCAGTTTTCAGCTGCACTAATGCATCGTGAAAGTAAAATCTCGGTAAGATCGATTGTTTTTTAGTTTGAATTTTAGTGACATCATGTGAAAACCAACCATGTGAAATGTGTCATGTGAATGTGTCATGTGTCATGTGAAAAAACAACAGAGCGGGGGCAGCTGTAGTGTCAGCTATTACCAGTCGTAAATATAGTACTCGCAATGTGTTTTCGCATTTACTGAGAGTAAACAATTACTTCTGAAAATCTTGGTGTATGGCAGATTCAGAGTGCCCCCCATCCCATCAGCCCCCTGGAAACCAAACCATATTTACCCCTTGTTTTTTTATATCAAAACAGGTGATAATTACTTGTACGTGGATTCTTGGGGTGATCTTCAATATGCCATCGTTTATATACAGGAGATATAACGAGAATCAGAAATACTGCATCAACACGTGGCCAAGTGTGTGGGTCGGCAAGGCCTACAGTCTAAGTTGGCTTTTGCTCGCAGTTCTCTCAACTTCCCTTATGGCCGTGCTATACTTTCGTGTGGCGTATACAATGTGGTTCAAAAAGGAAGAACATCGTAGAGAAAGCAATCTGCGACAGAGGGTAAGATGATCTAAAACTTAACCGTGTTAACGGGTATTACAGATCAAGCGTAGGCGGTGTGCGTCATGACCCACAAAGGTTCATGGGTAAAACTGTTACTGTGCCTCATTTCAATCGTGACACGGTCGAGTTCGCATCTCGTAAGAGAAATGAATCAAACCCAGGGATCAAAACACTGCTGCCTTTTCCGAAAAACATTACGGAAGAGAGCGATTTCGAGAATTTTCAAGATCTCATAGTGGCCTTAGATGCTTGCTATTGGCTTCACAAGACAATTTCAAGAAGTTTATCGCGATTCGGAGACGATCGTGCGATCTAGCCGACTTTGAGCCGCGACTAATTTCCTGCTTCTCATAAGATTTTATGTACTGCGGTTTATATGTATGTTTTTATCTCATAGTGAAAGAGATCTGTAGTTCATACCTGGATTTGCTTAACCAAAAAAAAACTTCGTCCATTAGAAGTGTTTATATATTTGATGGACTTTGTTACCGACAAAGCAGGGGGAGCGCGTGCAAACAGTAAGGTGAGAAATCGTCTCTCATAACAATTTTATTTTCATCGACAAGTTTATATTATTTTGAAAACAGTGCCCGTTTGAAATCCTTTTGTATCAGGCAAGGGGAAAACAGACCGAAAGAGCCGAACAGCTGCAGCACAATCAGAATTTCACCGAAGCTACAGTCGCAGAAATAAACAGTGAAATAAACCACGATCTTGTCTGTGCGTTCAATGAAGTGAGCGTAGTATATCGATTTTGTTATAAAGTAAAACCTAACCTCACAGTTTTAAAATCCTGTATGATGTTGTCTGGATCTTCGATAATGGTTTTGTGTTTTGGTAGAGATTTATAACAATTTATTCCCTCACATAAGTTTACACAAAGATTTGCATACACATAGCACGCACCGCATGCAAATTATTTTAAAGTCACGCTTTCAGTTTCCGCACAGGGTTATGAAAAATGTTTTTTTTTTCCAAAGGTTATTACAATATTCAAACTTATTTACCTTTTGTGGTTTAAAATAGAACAAACTCTTCCTGGATTTGGCGTTACTCGCTTCACGTCGGCTTCCGCTTCGGCATGTTTTCTCAGCCCGTTTCCCGGGAGTTGTGCCACTTGGCTAAGACGATGTCTTAATTCCAAGACACTTTCAACGCCTCATAACGGGAAAACTAACACGGGTAGACCCCAAAATTTGCAAAGAAGAAAGGTTGAAGTAACAAGATGGCCAAAAAAATTCGATAAAACCGCTAACAGTAACCAGCAATAAATCCAAGAAGAACGGCAAAAACAACACTCAAATCATCATGGCGGCCTGCACATAACCGAGCAATTCAAACTTGTCACAAACGCTCAAGAAAGCAAATATTTTACAGTAACGCAACTGCTATCATGATAAAGTGTTGCAACAACTTTCCACGGCGGTATAGCGTCAAAATTTCCAACACAAGCTTGGAATAAAGCGAAAATTTCACCACATATACCTCTCAAAACGGCTCTTTCCGAGCGCGAAAATCACTCTGCAAATGACGCATTCTGATTGGTCGAATCTCGTGACGCACACCGCCTGGGTCAAGCGTATCCCCCAAGATTCCATTAATATTGTCCAATTCCCTGAATGTGACGTAGATGTCTTCGAAGCCGATTTTATCTATTCAAAGATTTTCAATCTGACCAAATACAGAGAAGTTATCGTAAAATATTCACTGCTTATTACGAATGCAGGAATGCCGACTTGAATTTGACACCAAATACGGGAACAACTAACGGATTCATTTTTCAGATAATCAATTCATTAATAGAATGTTGAGGGGGTACGCTTGACCAGCCTTGACTGCAACTAGTACTCCATATAACTCACCGTATAGTCGCCCTTAAATTAGAAGGGCCAGAGTAATGTTTATTACCTAATCGGCTGCTGTTATTTCCTATGAATAACAAGTCCTGCGTGGTGAATGACATTACACGACATAATTTATTATCTGGACTATATCATGATGTTTCCCCATGTATGGTAATACTCTGGAATCCAGGACATTTTTGCTTGTGGAATCTGGAAGCCAGGGCTTTGGAATCCGGAGTTCACTTCAAGGAATATATCCTGAATACCGCTAACGACTGAAATTAATCCGAAATCCAAGTTCCACAGACATCCGAAATCAAGTACCTGGAATCCGGAATCCACAGCTTGGAATCCAGAATCCAAGGCTGTCTTCACTCGGATTTCTTTACATGGGGCGAATGATGTGCAAACCGCTAACATGAAGTAACTGCGAATTCATGTGGCTGCTCCAACTCTGCCTTTAGTTTATAGTAATAACTTTTTAAATGGTATCAACGTTTTCTTGACTTAAAAATAGCTCTCTAGAGAGAGAATGTTTTTACAGTTCAGTGTAATGTTATATCTGCTGTGCACTTCCGATTTTATTTTAGAAAAACGTAACTAAGCCCGCAATCCTTATCTCCAGCGGATCGGCTTGCTATGTCATATAAGCATTAAAAAGGACCGTTGTTTTGTCGAAGATATAAAGCGTGATATCTTGCATCGAAGACGCGAAAGTCAAACCTTTTTTGCAATATTATTTTCACTAGAAAAAAGAAAATTGATATCATGACAATCAACAACTAGAGCGTAATAGACTATCCTTGTTATAGCATTTTGTATCTGGCCTACATGGAGGGTGGGGTCTTATCCTTTATCTTACTTACGAAAATTACGGATATACGAAACGACTTCATAGTGTTTTGGACATATTGAATTCTGCAAGCAGAATACTGCAGTGCTGATCGTACTACGTGAAAATGAACTCTTCAAGGCATCAACACCAAACCGAGAGAACTCAAAACAGAGCGGGATTGTAGCCATAGACAGCTGTTTCGCCCTCTTTGGGGCTCGTGGTATGGCGTAATTCTGTGGGTGTTGAGAGTTCTAGGTCAGGGCTTAAATCAGAGTGCGGGGACATTTTTCATCAGAGCTTTCTTTGGTTGTTACGCTATACTGACGAGCCCCAAATGATAGGGCGAAACAGCTGTCTATGGCTACAATCCCGCTCTGTTTTTTATTGAGTTCTTTCAGTGTAGTGTTGATGTCTTGCAGAGTTAATTTTCACATGGTACGATCAGCACTGCAGCATTCTGCTTGCAGAATTT